TATTTAATTAAGTCTACGTCAAAAGAAATTGCCAAATATTAAACTCTAATAGTAAATAGATTATTACGAACAAGTCACAAGTTTTTTTATCCCCCTTATAAACCTTTTGGTCAAACTGGCTTTATTTTGATGTGGAGGTTGTCGTATGTCTGATTCATTTGACACTGTGATGTTCTCATTATCATTAGCAGAAGTTTCAACTGCTGATATAGATTGATTATCTATATCTGAAAAAGTTGAAGCATGTCGTGCCTTTGTTCGCCCTCGTAAGAAAGAGAATATGAATGGTTTTCTTGCAGTTGATTTTGGTGTACTGTCAATATCTCGACTTGTTGAACCTTGTGAATACATGTTCGATCCAAATGGAGAATGGTGTACCTGGTGAACGCTAAATGTTCCTTCCTCATCATTTATTACAGTTCCTAAAGTTTCTAAAGTTTCTGATTCTTGTATATCCTATGTATTAAAATGGTAAATAAATTTTTTATTTTATTTTTAGTAAAGGTCTTTAACATGTATTGTTTAATTAATTGCATATCTATCTAAATTACACTTACCATTTCTTGTTTGTCTTCCAATTCTTGACGTATACTATCACGCATTTGTGCACGGTACTTATCAAACTATCATATCAAAATTTCAAGAATATATTAAACAAAAAAATAAAATAAAATTAATAATTTCATTTTAAAACACGGGATGTATCAAATGGGTTTAACAAACCTGCGCAATCAAATCAGCAGAAAATGAAAAAGTATATCGATCCGATAACCTATAATTAATTGGTGCTGTTCCATGATTTTTTCGAAGACGAACTTGAGGTACGTTAAGGTATTCATTATTATCAACTAAATTTACTACATCATCTTGAAGGGTTTGATTTGAAGAACCTGTTGAACCAGAAGGTTCTGCTATAATTTGTTGAATTTCAAATGTTGTTGGTTCTTTATCATACATTATTGACGTTATTGATCGGTCGGGATTAAAAATAATATGTTATCGGGTTATGAATATTGTGGTATAAATATGTTATCGTAAATTCGTGTTTATATGATGGTTAATTTTGTTGTTTTTTTTTTTTTTATTTTTTTTATTTTTGATGTTTAAAGCAAGGAATTTTATCGTCTTGCCAATTAAATAAACACCAAAAAGAATGGTTTCCCGTGTCGTGAAAAAAAAATTCGATCGCTTTTTCTATTACTTTATTAATTTTTATTAATTCGGGATTGCCTTTTAAATAACCGAATTTGGGGGTTTTTTTTCTTTATTTTGGACTCGCCAAAACAAAAATATGTACGTTATAACATTAAGAGATCAGCAAAAGAAATAACAATGTGAAATTTTTAAGAAAATGACACAGAAAGAATGGGTAAAAAAAAAAACAAAATTGAAATTTACGTAAATTTCAAAGAAAAATATTATTTTACCGACGAGGAAAAAATAAAAATTCGCACAAGTTTGAAGGTATAAGATAGTTATACTATCAACCTTTTTTTGGTGAACAAGGTACACATGTTTTTTTTGTCAGGTTTTATAATAAATTCGTTAATGTAACCTAGCAGATCTGTTATTATATTTATAATCAAGGTTTTTTACTAGTTCACGTTTAGTTAATTCGAGCTAAAAAATATAATGGAAATCCCTTCAGCAGATAATGAAAATTTGCTTTTTATCATTGTGTTCGTCCTAAATCGGTGCATTATCGACAAAGACAGGTGCCGCAGCGATGGGGTAGGTAAATATTCAATAAGTTCTTTCAACTTTCTTGGTCCAATCAATTAATGAATTTTTTTGTACAGGATGAGAATTTTTTTCGGAACTAAACAATTTCCTGTTTATACTACTGAGGTATGACCACATGTTAGATCATGCAGGACTAAAACAATCAATGCCATTGTCTGCGTATATTTGTATATATTTATTTGCTTGAGAAATAACATCATCAGTGATCTCATGATTACTTTTCGGCTACGAAAGTCTTGATTTTCTTTATAAAGTTGTCGATATTTAAAATTAGGTTTGCAATCCTATGTCTTGGACAATTACGTAAAATATGCACTTATCCCCTGAAATAAGCTTATATCAGATATCTAAATGTTATTTTATTTCATACTATCGCTATAGCCCAGATTACATATCCAGAATTAGAAATTGATTTATGTAAAATAACTTTTTTTTGAATTCATCTCTCATACTGTTCATATTCACGCACTTAATTTTTTAAGGAATAAATTTAACATATGTACACACATACTGAAAGACCAAACGAATTAATTTGTGATGTGTTTAGAATGGTCAATAGCTAATCTGCAGATAAGATTCATTGTTAAAGAAGGAAAAGTTCAATATTATGCATCATTCACCTTTTAATTCATCATTTTCGTTAGGAAATTTCCCTGCAAAAATCCATTATTACAATGGTGATACTTAAGGGATAATTATCGTTATCATATGGAATATTTTCTGATTTGATTGATTCGGATTGAATCGATCATTAATAGTCAACTATAGTTAATTACTATATATAAAATAATCAATTAGTGCGTGTATATTATATACAAACAGCTTTATTAAGCAAAGCCCGGAGAAAAATTCCCTGGGCGCCATTAAAATCTCTATCAATTACGACTCCGCATTCATACACCTAAACACCCTGCTTCCACCCAAGTTGTGTTTGATAAATCTATAGCAACTGAATAAAAACAATAACATTAGAAGTAATAAAAAAGATAAGAAACAATGATATGTAGCTAGATTACTTGCAGGTTATGCTTATGTAAGCTTCATTCTGGATGATTGCTTTTTTTATCTAATTCTTTAGCCTTGAAAATAAGATGTTTATTAAATTAACTATAAGACCAGATAAGCATTTTGCAAATTATTTTGAAATTGATTTTTTGTTTAAAATAATAAGATATAGCAGATCTGGGTATATTATATCTTTGTTGATATTTTATTATCTACAAAACAATTCAATTCGATTGTTTATCATCAAAATTAGCTAGTGGATCAAAATTTTCCGAATTAATCGTTGGTGAAATAAAATTAATCAGCTTCTGATTTTGTAAATCTGTTGATAATTTTCTTGAATTACTTGAAGATTTGTTTAGTATAGAAGAGCCTTAGATTGTTCTTCTTTTAATATCATAATATTATCTTTATCTGATAGTTAATATACTTTGAATGAATAAGTTCTTTTTAATATTTTATTAATATTCATATTATTATCATTATTAATAGATGAAGGTTCTTTAAATTTTCTTTTTGTCAATTGTCTTGTGATTAGTTTTTGAATATCAAAATTATTATCTAAAATATTTATTGAATCAGTACTAAAATTATTACTCTTTTCATTATCTTTATTATAATTATATTTGTTTATATTAAATTAATATCAGTTTTTATGTTTAATAAATTTTTTGATAGTAATGTTATAATAATACAAATACCTATTTTAAATACTTGTTAAAATAAATACATAACTATAAATTTATTAACTATAAATAATACTTTAAAATCTTTTATATTAATTATATTAATTATATTAATATCTACTAGTAAATAAATAGTACTAAATTGACTATTTCAATTATTAATTTTAATTTTAATACAGACATTTTTAGGATACTGATATATTCTTTTTGTCAAAAGTTTAATTATTCTAAATAATATAAATAAACTATATAAATAATAACAACATATTAAAATTTTTTTTTTTCAGAATATTTGCTTTTAGATAAAACTACTTTGGAGAGTTTTTTTTTTTCTTTTTATATCAAAAAGAAAATTTTTCTTTTTTGTTTTTTGTTTTTTTTTATTTTGTTTTGTTTTCTTTTCTTTCTACTTACTGCTAGTATTGTTTTTTATCTATCAGCAAGTTTTTCTATACTATGCTTATGTTTTTATAGCATATAGCTTTATACTTTTTGTTATCTGTAACAATTTTTTATTTTTTTCTATTTTGAGACTAAATATTAACAACTTTTAGTTTAGTCTTAGATTAGATTAGAAGAGATCTAGGATCTTGATAGTGGCTAAAAGTTACTAATTATTAATCAAAAGTTAGAATATACTGTTTGTATAGTGAACTACTTTTGAAAAATAAATAGCTTTTGCAACAGATCAAACTTAGATATATTTGATATAGCTAAGTTAGTCTGAACTAAATCTATAGAGCAATATATAGTTATATTGAGATATAATAGTATACTATATATTATCTTTTGATAAACTATCTATAAATAAAGGAAAAAGTAAGATTATTCAAGTAAAAAAAAATATAAATATATATTAAAAAGTAGATACAAAGAAGCTTTCTATAAATTATAAGAGTATAAACTTGTTTATGCAAACTGTTCTTATAAGAAGAAAATTACTTTTGTAACAAATTATACTTGAATATCTAAAGTAGCTGAGTAAGTTCAGAATTAGAAAAAGAAAGTAGTCATATAGCTAGTTTAAATTAGTTTATATTTTTGTTATCCTTTAATTTGTAATACAAATAAATTTGTTTATATTTATTTTTAATTTTTGTAATTTTTAAATAAAATTTTAAATATTAATTTTAAATATATATTTTTTAAGTAAAATATATTTTTTAATATTTATTTAAACAACTTTGTTAAGAAAGTTTTTTAAAATTATTATAAAAATTTTTAGTAATAAATCTTTAAAGTTTTGCTTTAAAATTTTTACTATAAAATTTTTAATCAAATTTTTTCAGATTTTATATATAAATGAGACTAAAAATAATTTTTACTTCTAATACAAGTATAAATTTTTACAAGTAAATTACAAAAGTTATAATAATTAAAGTTGT